ATAGTCCCTACCGAGGAACAAACAAGGCATAAACGAGCTTTAGAATTTGGTGGAGATATTTTGAAATTCTTTTTTGGAACTTTAGATGCGGATGATGCACGAAAATACGATGTCAAAATAGCGAATCCGAACTTTTAAAACTAATGAAGGATAATATCCACATAGTTCATTTTTCTATTAATGTATTTAACTCAACGATATATAAATTAAATATGAATGAAAATAAATTAAATTCTCAAATTAATTCTTTAAATATTGTGTTATCCCAACCGGTACTTGAAGTCCTTCAGAAGCTCTTCAATTCCGTCCTCCATGGTGGCACTACTCCGGAGGCGTGGAGCAGAAGTGCGATGGTCTTGTTCTTTAAGAAAGGCGACAACGCTCTCTTGAAGAACTACAGACCGATTTCCCTTCTGAGCCGCGTCTACGTGCTGTTTTTGAGAGTCATTACGAATCGTCTCGCACGCAGACTCGACGACTTCCAGCCTCCCGAACAAGCCGGTTTCCGAAAAGGCTTCAGTACCATAGACCACATACATACCCTGCGGCAGATTGTACAGAAGACCGAAGAGTACAATCTGCCACTTTGCCTGGCGTATGTGGACTATGAGAAAGCCTTTGATTCCGTCGAAATTCGGGCGGTGCTACAGTCCCTTCAGCGGTGCCAAGTTGACTGTCGGTATATCGAAGTGTTGAAGTGTTTGTACAGTAGAGCTACGATGGCTATCCGAGTACAGAACCAGAGTTCGAAACCTATCCAACTGCAGAGAGGTGTAAGACAGGGTAACGTTATATCCCCGAAACTCTTCACCGCTGCATTGGAAGACGTTTTCAAGCTACTGGACTGGAAAGGATACGGTATTAACATCAATGGCGAGTACATCACTCACCTTCGATTTGCCGACGATATAGTCCTTATGGCAGAATCGCTGGAGGACCTAAGCACTATACTCAATGACCTCAATGGTGTTTCCCAACGGATAGGTCTTATGTCACACCTATGCCGGTAGTTGTTGGGAGCACTATGCTCGAAGTTGTTGACGAGTACGTTTACCTGGGACAAATAGTCCGACTAGGTAAGTCCAACTTCGACCGAGAGGTCAATCGACGGATTCAACTCGGCTGGGCAGTGTTCGGGAAATTACGACACATCTTCTCGTCAGGTATACTTCAATCTCTAAAGACTAAAGTGTACAACCAGTGCGTATTGCCAGTGATGACTTACGGATCTGAGACGGGGTCCTTCAATGCTGGCCGTATGAGGATGCTCAAGGTCGTTCAGCGAGCTATGGAGAGGGCTATGCTCGGAGTTTCTCTGCGTGATAGACTCAGAAATGAGGATATACGCAGTAAAACCAGAGTGACCGACATAGCCCAGCGGATTAGTAAGCTGAAGTGGCAATGGGCTGGCCATATAGCTCGAAGAACCGATAACCGATGGGGAAGAAAGGTTCTCGAGTGGCAGCCTCGTAACGGTAGGCGTGGTGTAGGGCGACCCCCCACTAGATGGAGTGACGACGTGGTAAGACATGCAGGAAGTCGATAGATGCAGGTGGCTCAGGACCGTGCTTTATGGCTTTACTTGGGGAAGGCCTATGTTCAGCAGTGGATTTCTGAAGGGCTGTAATGATGATGATGATGTTAATTCATTACCACAATAAAAATTAAGCACAATTTTACATCGAAAATGTAATTACCGATTGAATACTATTGCACTTCTGAAATTCGAATATATTTATTTTCGACTAGAAGAGCATTCGCCTGTTTGTTGATTCGTAATTAAAATTTTCGAGATTGAGTTATTTCTACTAAATAAACTTTCAACTTTGAAAGTTCAGACCCAGAACCTAGAACCACACAGCAGGCTTTTCGGCCTAAAACATTGGCAGTCGGACACCGACACGACATACTCGTCTATCGGATCGTGTGAATGACCCTTCCGCATTACGTGTTTGTTACGACAATTATTGTTAAAATTTTATTTTGGGTTCTTGCAGAACAGCCGCTTAAGAGGATCTCTTGAAAATATGTGAATTCAAACCAATAATAGAATAATTTACTGTTTTGTAATACTTTATTGTGAAATCAAAACAAAAAATAAAAACTTGTTCGGCAGACAAACCCTAATGGTTAATTAACTTATCGATAGCTAAAGTTTGGAGTACATCACTACATTGCAGTACTTTCGATTGCAGTGATACCAGTTTATTTTATAAAAATTGCATACTTTTGGTTATTTGTTTAAGCATAACTTCAATCTAATATCAAACTTATTCGGTTTAGAATAATATTTTGATAAATATATCGATTATTATATAATATTCAGAATCATGTTGAGATTGAGCCAACATACATCCGATCCCTAAGGATCGAGTGCACCCAAGCTGTCTTCCGTGATTTCGGGGCTACGCCTAGGGAGTAGAAGTACCGTAAAATACGCGTTAAAACCGATGTCAACTCCAAAGCGCATGTTTTCAGCACAATAGGTGGGACGCCATCAGGCCCACTCGACTTTTTAACGTCTACGGAGAGAAGCGCTCTGCCCACCGAGTATTTTTTATACAACACATCCTGCATGGAGCACTCACACCACGAGAATGTCGGCGGTGTGTTCCCTCCGTCATCAAAAGTCGAGTTGGACGCAAAGAGAGAGCCCAGCAGATCGGCTTTGTCCTTTGCAGCATGGACCAGTGAGTCGTCCTCCCTGTGCAGAGATGAGAGAGATGGCTGACAGAAGTTCCATGGGCAGCCTTGGCCAGAGACCAGAATGCACGTGTTCCCGAAGGAGACGTTTTAGTTTCTCGCCAATTCTGCCGATGTGTTCTGACTTTGCCTTGACAATGACACTTTTGAAGGACTTAGAGGCAGAATTATACTTCCTTTTAAAAGCGCTATTGTTTACGTTCCGAGATGTCGATGCGCGAGTCCACGCCTGGTAGCACTCTTACTTATGACAATGGCTAGGTTTTGCCTCTGACAGGTACCACAGATGAAGGAATAAAATGATCCATTCCCTGAAGGACTACATCAGCGACAGAATCAGCAATAACGCTGGGATCATCCTTCGGGAATCAAACCTGCCTCTAAGAGTAGGATGTAAAAAAATATTGCATCCCATCCCAATCGGCTGACCTATAGTGCCAAACACGGTGGCAACCTGCAATATGCAACCGCGATGGAAGCGTGAGTGGCACCGTACTCCGGATCAGACAATGGTCCGAGGAGCCAAGAGGATCATCGACGGAGACCTGATATCCGTCCGGATGAGAGGTCTGCAGAAGGCCCAACAGGGAAGGTACATTATCTTCCACATATGGGATCTGCGTAGACGTGGTAACTAGTTGTGTCAGACCTTATGCCAAAGCAAATTCATAAACAGTTCAACTCGCATAATCGGTTAAACGAGAATCAAACCATTCAGCGTGGCGGGAGTTAAAATTACCAAGTATCACGATCTCTGCGGATGGTCACGTGGTCGATGAGTCGGTCTGTGTCGGCATTACCGCTATGGGACCTATAAAGGCAATCGAGGTCTTATATATATTTAAACGTAGTAGAGCCATGCTGCAGTTATATTAGTAGAATAGTTGTAGCACGAATAGGTCGGCTCGACCGGGGCAGGACCACGCTCTCACAGAATACCAGCGTAAAATAGTAGCTTAATGCTGCTGTGTTTCGTATGGTGAGTGTAGAGAACCGGAGACCATTTTTACTGGAAACGAGGCATTCAATCTTGGTCCTCACGGGTGACAACGCATTTGAATTTCGATTTGTAATCGAGGATAGATGTAGATGTCTATGGGCAGCAGCAACCACTTGCCATCAGATGGACTGTGTGCTCTTTTGTCACCCTATTTTATTAAAAAAACCGTAGAAGCGGGGATGATCATCGCTGTCTACGCGCAGGCATAATATGGACAGGTCCGTACCTCCAAGGCTGCCGAGGCATCGAAAACAGATGTCCTCTCTTACGTGCACACAAACTCCAACCCGGGGCACAAAGGAGTGTTCTAATTTGTACCTCGGGTGGTAGAGATACGAAGTATATGTAAGATAAGTATAGTACACCTTTGTCTCGCTTAGAAAGAGCAAGGCCAGCTTCAATGTTTCCAGATGGTAGTGGACGGCGTTAAGGTAGGAATGAAGTCCGCTGATGTTGCAGAAATTCACAGATAGCGTGGCATGGGGTGCATTTGACCTATGACTCCATTTGCCCGAGCAGGTTTAGTCTCGATTGGAATTTTGCCCCACCCCACCCACCCAGAATACGCGCGGCAGCCTGAGCACCCACGCTCAGGAGTGTAGTAGCTTGGTCGTGGATGCTCATTCTACAGGGGTGCTGATACCTTACAATATGGTAGTTACGCTACCATATTGTTGGGGGGCGGGGTATTGTGCCTCCGGCCACCTGCACTCACCAGATAAAACGCAGAAGCAAAGCTTATTTTTCACTTCATAAACTATGATGGCAACACTTGGTATTTTACGAAAATAATCAGAAAATATTGGGTTTAACGATAATATTATGTTAAAAATATTCACAGATGAAAAGTCAAGTTGGCCTTTGTAAATTTAAAGTTTTTATTGTTTTTTGCATGAAAATACACTGCAATTCGGCATTTTTGTCGAAGCTCAATTGACTGGCACGATGACTTGCGGTATGGTGCACAACGCGGAGCAACCAATTTTATATAACAGCTATGAGTCAGACTCATTAAATATGGAACATATAAAATAAATTAATTACTTAATACTGGCAAAAGTGCAACCGTGCGAGTCTACTACCAAACAAAAAGTTTTGAACATGCTGCCGTCATCTATCAAGTCAATTGATTTGATTTGATTGTTTGATTGTCAACAAAAGGAATAAAAGTTGCCTTATATTTTATTTTAATGATGAGAAATGTGTAAAATATTTAACCCTCTAGCAAGTTATTGTTATAGTTCTAATACTCGTCGTTTTTATTAAATATTTCAGTAGCTTTTTATACAAAAACAAAATGTCGCCTCGGAAACAGCCCAATAGCTTATTCAAAATCTGTGTTAAGAGTTGTATTTGTTTAATTAATTCCGCTTGTTATGTCATTGAAAAAAATTATCCCGAAAATGAGTTTGAGAAATGTGAGAGGCAGGCATTTTCTTTAAAATGCCATTTGATGTCTATGCTTCCAGCAAGGTAATTATGTTTTATCAATATGGTCATTAATATATAACACTAGCGATCCACCCCTGCTTCGCACGTGTGATTTCTGGATCTCGACTACTGCTCCACCTATCGGGTTAAATTGTAAATCTAAACCGTCCAGGGACCAACTCAAACACATAAAAAGTTTCATCAGAATCGATCAAGCCAATTTCGAGTTTTAGCGAGACTAACGGACCGCAATTAATTTTTATACATAAAAGTTAAAATTTGTTAAAACACGCTAAACATGCAATATATTTTCTTTTATTAAATTAGTTCTTTGTTATATCTAACAACATAATGCTTATCTTTAGTTAAGATAAAAATATTCTATAAATTTACTTTGAACAAGGATATTTGTAATTGAAAATGTTTGAATAACAATTTTAAAATAATTTGTCAGTCTGTCTGTGTAGCGTGTAATGGCTGAATAATGCCATGAGGGATCTAGCATAATAATCTATACTACTTGTTCATTCCAAGAATGCCATTACCTCCCGCCCCGCTCCCTCACTTTGCGCCTCATGTGTCGCTCTATTAGTAACGATAGCAGCGCCTTCATAATGTTTTACGTGTTTGAAATGTTTTAATTGTAAAATAAAACAAAAGAATTTAATTATAATATTTTATAATTGTATTGGACACATTCCTATTCACTGTTAGTATTTCACTTTACTAAATAAATTATTTTATAATATGCATTTTATCTACTCTCACAGTAATTTGTTGTCCTGTACTAAACTACTAAATTGAGAGCACACAGCTCTCAATTTCTCTGTACAGGACAACAAATTACTGATTTAATTTTGCTCAATTTGATAAAAAAGTAGTAATCAAGTTTATGTAATGTAATAGATAAGCATAATGACTTTTTTGTCAGCTGTGATATCATAACAGTCGACAATGGCAAACTTGAAATGAATGTGTAGTACATATAAATTAAATTGGAGTGTTTGTCTTTAATATCGAAATAACTGCCTTTTATTTAGGTTAGAGGTTAATTTGCATGCTATAATGACATGAATAACTATTTTTAAAAATTTTGTTTGTCTGAAACATCACAAAAGATAGAGAACCATGCCAGGAGTGATTTAGACTATATTTAAAATATATAGTGTTCCGATTTTATTGATGCCAGTTTTTTGTGTCAATGTGCACGAAAAGTAGCCATTAAAGATTTTTTTTTTAATTTTAAATCATTCACTATAAATAATTCCACATTATAGTTCCTGCCCTTCTTCTTCTTAAAGTGCCATCTTCTTTCGAAGGTTGGCTATCATTAAGGCAACTTATATTGTTGATGCCCCCGCTCTGTATATATATATATATATATATATATACAGACCTATGGCATTATTATATATAATAAGGAACAGGTGCTTTTTCCAAACCATTGGCGTAGGTTATTCAGTCAAGATGTTCTTCAACCCATACTTCGTTTTCCTTGGATCTTGCCCTGTATGATGAGTTGTAGTAGATCATATTTTCGATTTCTTATTATGTGGCCGAAATATTCAAGTTCATACCCAAGTGAAGCAAAAATATATTTTAGTAATTGTATTAAGAGGCCAATGCTAATATATTAATTTCCTTAAATTTTTCTCTTGACTTGTATATATAAACATAATTTTAGTAGTGTCAGTTATATTTCCCATAACAAAATACCACATGATATTTACGCTAAAGCAATAACTAGTGTAGCTAATTCAGCACTGGTAAGTGTGGTGGTGGGGTGTGACAAAATAACAGAAGTTTAATCAAAACCTAAATACACAGCCACGCACAGGTATTTTATCACATCTGAATATATAATATTTATAATTGATTAGAATTTAAAGTCATAGTATTAATTTATAAATAGTTTGGCCAATTTTTGTAATCAAAGAATGATTGTAGTCTGGTATTGTGTGTTTTATATTTAGCATATTAAGATACAAGGAATAAAATACTATTTTTTTCCAAATGCAAACCCTTCCTTCATGTAGTGTGTCATGTTAATTGACACATGAGTGAATGGCAACCAACTGATGGCAGAAACAGTGAACCCATATTGTACAAACTGGCAGATATTACCAGTGCAAAATCTATGCTTATGAATATTTTCAAAATATTACCAGCTCACTAGCACATTCTTGGCGAAGCTTATGTTCAACAGTACGAAAAAAATCTGTTGCTGATGATGTATCTGATGGTTACAGGCCATGTATGATATATGTGAGAAACATTGAAAGTTTTGCCTAACTCATAAATACAACTATTTATATGTAAACACATATATTTTTACTGTTATCCAAAGTATTTTCTATTACATTATAAATACTTTTTTATCAGTTTAAATCGTTCTGAAAACATAAGGGCTATTGGTCTAAGAGCAAGGTTTTCAGATGCTGGTTAAAAGCTAGCACAGCCTCTTCAGGCTCTGTTAAACTAAAACTTCTTTTCACCAATTGGTTTTCTTCAATACCTGACAGTAACCACATTTCTCTCAGTAATTGCAGTTAAGTTTCATCATGTAGAAACACAGTCACGATCAAATTCTGCATACCAATGCCTTTCAATGCTCAAATGAGGTGCTTCCCTCCCAAAAACATTTTGAAGACGAGCAGTGTAATCTTGTGGAGAATGTGAACTTTTAAAATAAAATAAATAAATCATGACCTTTAAATATTTTCGCACTAATTTCATTTTGATACCAATGATGAACTTTAACATGTTCGCGGACAGTAAGTCACACCTGTTTGACACTACTTTTTTCTATTCTACAGCAGTTCTGTTGCACTCCATACAAAGAAATTGTTGTAAAGGACAGTAATGCTTGAGCAGTCGTAGGGCATAGCAGCTCTGTCCCATTTTTACATAATTTAAAAATTCAATATGACACAATTGCTTTACCAGTTATTGAAATCGTAAATGCTAAAGTAGTTCTGTCATGTAGCTTATAAAAAAGGGTTGAATGTACGACACAGATGCTTTAGCAGATTGCAAGAAAAATTTTTTGCGTTAGCTGCAGGACTAAATAATCGTGCAAAACTTTTATTTAAACGTTATTAAAGAAAACAAATATCTATAAAACAATTTTTTAATTTTTGCTTAAGTTTACAACTATCCAGTGGCGGATTTACCAGCAGGATGAGTAGGCTGGAGCCTAGGGCGGCAATTTTTTATGTCTCAGAGAAATTTAAGAGATTTAAATTTTAAAAAGATAGATGAAGACATACTTTCTGACATTATCTCGGAAATGAAAGCATTTTTTTGTTCCTTACTCTGCCCACACTTGAAATTCAGTGGCAACTGCGGCTTCTGAATGTTTCCCAAAAGCTTCTCGTTTCTTCATGTTGCTTCAAGAAATTTTTATATAAGTTCGACACAACGCTGGCAAAAAATAATGATCGAGAAATAAATATTCTTAAAAAGCGAAGGGTACAGCAGTTCTGTCCGTCAACGTGTTAACTTGTGATAAAAATCAGTTTATTTTTTTCTTTAATAGACACGCAACTCCGTGCTAAATTGTCCTTATCAATTTATTAGTTTCATATATTTAAAAAAACATAACATTTGAAATTCAAATAAGAGCCCAGAACTTTCAATGTGCCATATTGTGTTTTTTATATTGTACACACATATTGTCATATGGTATAACTTAATGATTACTACAAACAGGCAACCTTGATTAAATCATGTTATTATTTTATTAATAAGTACCAGAAGCTTTAATGGTTTATGGAAATGGACTGCTAAATAAAAATTTCGTGATTCCTAATACGCCATTTAACTACTGTTGTTAAGCATTCCTAGCTTGAGCATTTTTAGTTGGGTACTACCAACTGATAGATTATATATAGATAGAAAACTAATATAATATATAGATAGATAGAAAACTAATTTGCTTAAAAACATGATACAAACTATATAATATAAAATGTTCAAGCTAGGAAAACGGAAAAGATATTAAAAAAATTAACATATTTTTTCACTTTCAGGTTATTTGATGTCCTCTGTTTAGAAAGAACATGTTGCCAGTACCGCGGCGACCCTCGAGTTCAGCTTCATGTACTGACACACCCAAACATGACAGTCTTCCGCAAATGCGACCTAGATAATGGTATACCACAACATTTCTGGATACAGAACCTCCCAAATTTCACTCGTTTAGTCGTTCTGGATCTTAAATTTGTCTGTACAGACGAAATCCTTCAAATTGTCGGCACCAATTGTCTGCTACTGGAAGAGATAAACATAGTTTCTAAGGTTGATATTTGCAAATCGCTTATCAACGCTTCAGTTTTAATAAGGAATGTTTCAGACGCCGGTCTTTATTCTATAGCTAATTTGAAACAGTTACGTATACTCGCAATGGATCCACCTCGTAATGAGAGAGCAAGTCGGGTAGGTCGCTGTGTATCCCAAGCTGGTATTATTATGTTAGTGAGTGAGCTCCCATATTTAGAAGAGTTACGGATAGAATCTTGTGATATTGGCGCCACATTAATAACAACAGTCGTAGACATCGGACCGTTAAGTTTAAAAAAAATTAACTGCCACTTCGCTTCAGCTGAGGGTATTAAGAAATTAATTAAAATCTGCCCATATTTAAAGGAACTGTCCGTCACACACCTGTCGGCACACAACAAAGATGCGATTCTAGAACAGCTTTCTGTAAGTGATCTCCGATTGTCGAGGCTAGATTTATCTTTCTTTTCCTATTCGGATTCGATGCAGCAACTATTGTCTGTAAAAGGCAGTTATTTGACGCATTTCTCATTATGGGAGATTGAACATTCTTTAACGTTAGAAGCAATTGTTTCAATAGGTGTATCTTGTCCCAATCTAATTACTCTATGTCTCATGACACAGTCGAAATTTTTGCTTACACCGCGATATTTTAGGAGACCAGAGAAAATATTCTGTCAGCTCAGAAATTTAACCATAGGTAACGAAAATTACAATATCAGTAGTATTCTTTCATTTTTCCTTGACTGTACGCAAAATTTGCAAAAATTAGTTTTAAAATATCAAACTAAAATGAATATCGACGATACTTTGCTACAGTTAATAGAGAAGGGTAGATTAAAAAATTTAAATTGTTTATGGTTGGACTGTACGTTAGAAGTTTCTAAGGATGTAGTGAAGCAAATGATACAACACTGTGAACAACTTCAAATGTTCACAGTAGATTTTAACGAGGATATGAGTGATGTACAGAGATACATTTGTGAAAACAATTTAGACTTAAAGCTGGGTAGTTACTAGCTCATATTTTGTATATATTATGGTATATTTAAAGTACATATAAAATTATTTTTACGTAACGTCTTTTATTTATATATCTGTCCCTTCAAATTTTTCTTCATTTCCTATGAGTGATACCTTATAACTAGTGTAAAGTAAAGTAAAGTTTCAGCCTATATACGTCCTACTGCTGGGCACAGGCCTCCCCTCATTTCTGAGAGGGTTTTAGGACAAGGAAGTGTCCGCCGCGCTGCCCCAATGCGTGTTGGCGAACTTCACGTCTTCGAAATATTTTTTTTCTTATTTCTCAGACATGCAGGTTTCCTAACGATGTTTTCCTTCACCGCCGAGCACGTGGTAAATCAGCACTTAAAATTGCAATTAACAATTTCGTTAGTGCCGGCGGTGATCGAACCCGGTTTGCTCGCATACTGAGCTACCACGGCTCTATAACTAGGTAGTATAACTAGTGACCATTTATTTTTTTCCTCAGAGGGGGACGCCTTTAAAATTATTATGGTTTTAACACTTTTGACTGCCTTCTAGGTCTACTGGTAGTAAAGGTAGTTGCTGATGATGTGGTCCTGGGTTCGAAACCAGAGTCAGGAATCATTTATAGGGTTTTTCTGTCACAAAATTCTCAGTAGAAGGCCGGAATATTGATTTAGAACTTATTGAAGTTGGCGGGGTTTCGCGCCACCGTGCCTCCGGAAGCACGTAAAGCTGTTGGTCCTGCGCCTGATCTCTCTCCCATCGTCTTCCGAGACGTAATCCGTTACCGTTCCATCGGACTTTAAGAGTGAGGGAGTAGGGTAGACCTGTGCTTAGGCATACACTTGGGCAATATAATCTTGTCCTGCGCAAATAGCTATTCTTCGTTGAAAATTCAATCAGGATCCATTTATTGTAGTTTTAAAAATAAAACACATACGTAGTTGTTTGAATCTTTTAATGATCAAAAGTGAGAATAAGAACTTAGAATCATATAAAATCTGGCTGCTGGCTTAATTTTTTTTTGAACAGCAAATAAATACTAATTAGAAATAACTTATGTTATTTGATAATTTATTGTAGATTAATTAAAAATTGTCACATCGTAACTTTAAATTCAAAAGTGTAGCTTTTCAGAATAATCGCGTAAAAAATAACTAGTCAGGCCATGCTGGCAAATCTGGTACGCGCGGTACATGATGCTACGCTTTTGTTTGTCAAAGTGGGACATTTTTATGTATTTTGGGGACAGCGAGATACAAGAACCTTTAAATCGGGGCCGTCCCGCCTATAGTCGGACGTATGGTCACGTTAGGTGTGAGGTGACTCGTATGTAATAGATATACTTAGACGAAATGACGGCTCCGTGGCGCACTGGCTTGGCAATAAGTGGCTGCTGCCCATCGCCTGTTATATTTACCTTTGTCGCATTTTAGTTTTACGACACCGACGAGACAACGTGGGATAGTGAATATTCTCTCACAACCACTATATGATTTAACCCACTGTACGTAGAGGAATAAAAAACACCTATATCATTACGCAGTAGTATAAGTCTATATATATCATTAATTTATTTTCAGCTGTACCTACAATAAATTTGTATGAAAGAATGTCAAATCATATTAAATGCTACTATGTTAAGATTTCTTAAATAAATAAAAAAATTAGTCATATAATACAACAAAAATCAGTCTTTAATTTAACCGCTAAAGCCGGATTAATTCGATAAATATTTTCGTATCCTTTCGCCAAGGGCGTATATTTACGACTAAATACCACTGTTCGCTTAATCTGCTTTTTTATTTCAATAAGCTGCATTTTATTAAAAAAATGTTCATGTTAGGTAAATAGTTAATGTTATCAAGTACATATGTAACAGTTACAGCCTATATACATCCCACTGCTGGGCACAGGCCTCCCCTCATTTCTGAGAGGGTTTTAGGGCGCGCTGACCCAATGCGTGTTGGCGAACTTCACATGTCTTAGAAAAAAATTTTTTATTCTTCAGACATGCATGTTTCGTCACGATGTTTTCCTTCACCGCCGAGCACGTGGCAAGTCAGCACTTAACATTGCAGTTAACAATTTCATTGATGCCGGTGGGGATCGAACCCGGGTTACTCGTGGTCTGTTATATTTACAGCGAGCTTTAAGCATCTGAGCTACCACGGCTCTAATGCCTATGTACTCATTTACAAATAATACATTTTAGTCTCTAAATTAGAATTCCAAACATAATGTCTGAAGTTAGATGAATTAGGTATTAATATATTTCTTGATCTGGCTAGGGCATTTGACACGGTCTCTATTCCACTATTAATTCACAAATTATACAAGCTGGTAGTCAGGATTGCAATTGAAATTCTTTGAAAGTTATGTCACTAACCGATCGCAATGTGTTAAAATAGGAAATTGGATTAGTGATGGTCTTCCCGTTTCTCATGGCGTACCACAAGGTAGTATTTAGGTCCTACCCTGTTTTTGACCTATATAAACAGCAAGTGCCAGTTAAAATTGATAAATGGAACTCTTGTTTCTTATGCCGATTATACTGCGCTTTTATTCAGCGGTGATACATGGGACGAAGCATATTTGTATGCCCAAAAAGCTTCAATGTAATTATGAACTGGCTAACACATAATAAATTAATGCTAAATGTCTCTTTAACACTAAATATATGTCATTCACATTTAAAAAACTTAACAAACCTATTTCACCTAATTTCCATATAAAAGCACATATCTGTCACAATTATAATAATGTTATTGACTGTTCTTGTCCTTCGCTCCAAAAAGTAAATGAAATAAAGTATTTAGGTATAATAATTGACAGTACTCTGAATTTTCAAGCACACATTAATCTTCTAACTAATAGGTTGCGCAAGTTGATCTATATTTTTAAAAATCTTCGACATGTGGCAGACGAAACAATAATAAAATCAACTTACTTGTCACTTTGCCAACCAATGATTACCTATTGCATAATAGCTTGGGGTGGTACCTCTAAATCACATCTACTTAAATTAGAACGTGCCCAAAGAGCACTTCTTAAGGTGAGTCACTTCTTTCCATTTCTCTATCCCACTAAAGACCTATACCAAAGCTATAAAGTTCTCACAGTCCGCCAATTATTTATTCTCCACACTATTTTAAAACAACATTCTCCTTTATATTATAATCCTTCTCTTCTTACAAATAAAAGTGAAATTTGTCCTATTTTACCATACGAAAGAAGCTTTACACATAATTTCTTCTACTTCTTAGGTTCTCATCTATATAATAAAATTAATTCCATTCTATCTATATACAAATTTCCCAAATTTAAATGCAAAAAGATGGTAACCCTATGGTTACTAAGTCAAGATTATGAAACGACTGAGGAACTACAATAACAAACCTATAAACATAAGACACACACATACACACGCGCGCGCGCGACACACAAAACGTTTTTCGTATTTTTTTATTATTTTTTTTTCTTCTTTTGTTTATCATACACCTAATATTACCTAGATTATAAGTTGGTCTAAAGATGGGGGCTGGTGATCTGTCATACAGGGAATCCTAGTACGGACACCAGTCTCTCACAAAATCGTAGCATATTAAGTTGTATGTTTATATTTATTACTAAATTTGTGAGAGGAAAGAATAAACTTATTATTAATATTATTATGTATAGAAAATTGTATTGATGTCCAACGCCCGTGACAACACAATCCGACAGTAGGGATGGACATATGCAAAGATTTACCGATACAAAAATAAACATATATAGATCAGAATATTTCCCTTTATACTGACTAATTTATGTAGGTACCGTAAAACAAATAGAGCTATTGGTAATAAAATATTTTTTGACAAGTGTTTGTGTATATTTTATTTTATTTCTTTAAAATAAGTGAAATTAGCAGCTGAATGGATGTTTCCCATCCCTAGCCTACATGTTTAAAAATTACTAATTAAAAAAGTAGTAAATATATAAGAAACTAATTTATCACTTATTACTATGCCCAGCGCAGCGCCACGGTCGGAGAAAGACGACCACTTCTGACGTCATAAAGGAATGCCGACTTCTGAAATTTTCCATTAGTGTTGTATTCGTAAGTGTCACAGAAATCGTAGACAATAGAAATGAATTAGCGCTCGATTACTTCCAAAACCGATGTCACCACATCCTAACATATACGCATTAAGCAACAAATATATATTTAAAAGACTCGCACACGCTTGCTAAACACCGGTGAAGTTAGTATATGTAGGGCACTATCTATTATGAACTAATACTATCCGTATGAAATAATACTATATATGAAATAATACCATCCGTATCAATTTCTCTAAACAAATCGTATTCTATATTCATCAGAGAAATAATTCAGGCGATCTCGACTCATAGAGATCCCTAAATTAATTTTTTATGCGGTTCAATGTGGAACATGAACGTTCACCACTGCAGTTAATGATCATGAGAGACAATAAATGCGCAAAGCAGTTTCTAAATTGGGGAAACATGATTCTAATGGATTATTCATTAGGAATTCATAATATTGAATTTACAGAGACTCGGTTTTCGTATTGTCAATGGCACTAATCACATCCGTTTTGAGCAACTCGGCAAACTGCACTAATTCGCCATCTTATACTGCCCAAACCATTTACATAAGCACTGACCATAATTGGAGTTTCTTTCAAAAGCTCTTCTTCTGTAATTGATTATTAACAGTCAATATATTCCAAAAACACTTGTTAGATTTTGGTATGTTTTTGATTTGTTTTTAATTAAAAAGACAACGAGAAGTCTCCTCTAATGGAACTAGCTGTAGGTTTGGAAGAGGCTCTTTTAGCCTCACCAACACCCTAGTGCGCCCCAACCGACGAGCCGTGAAGCGGAGGGCACGTTTGCAGCCGAACCACAATCGGAAACGAACCAGGGAGGTTAAAAGAAAAGAAAAAGTTCGCTATGCCTTATAAGCTTAGTGGGGCAGTGAGGAAAAGGTAGCGAAAGCTGATAGCAGCTGAGATAGGAGC